CTGACCGTGCACAAGGAAGTGGGGGGGGGGGGGTCCTTCCCGCAGCAGCCCGAGCCGCGGCCGCACGGCTGCAGTACTCTGCTTGCTCGTGCCGCGGCAGTGCCCGCCACCGAGCTGCGGCATCCTCCCGAACGTGGAAATGCTGCAAAAAGCGCGAGATGATGCAGGAGACAACTTCTGCCAAGCACCTTGGCAATCTCGCTGAAGTTTGACGGGACTATGCGACCAGGGCTGTCTTGACCACCCCGCTCTCTCCGAACTTTTGCGAAGTGCTCGTTCACGAACAGAAGGTATCCTTGCCAACTGTCGTCGCAGAAGTATATCACAACGCGGGTTCATTCAAAGAGCAGCCAATAGCCTCCAAGTGGCCCGAGGCCGGAGCTCGCTTGCGTTTCAAAGTGTTTCCTTCCCGCCGCTCAGAGGCCTGCTGCGGGCCGCTGCATGCTTGGCTTGTGGACATGCCGAAAATGCTTGGGCCTCCATGCTTTTGCAGCTCCAGGATTTCGGGGCTGTCTCGCGTCCATCATCGTTTTGGGCTGCATGTGCCTCGGAATTGAGACCTGCCGCCTCCCGCTCCTGATAATGCTAGAAAGAATGAAAAATCAAACATCACGCTGGCTGGAGTCCACGCGATTATAAACTCTGACCGCTCACGCCGCCTGCAATGGAAGAGCATTGAAAGCCGGACAACGTCCAAGCTCTTGCTGGAGAAGTTGCTGCACCTTGGTTGGAGAACCTATTCCACAGCTGCCAGTGCCACTCAGGGCGGGAACCTGCTGCCCAGCTGCTGTGGGCAACTCTGCATCGTCTGCTGCCCACTCCCATCGCCGGCCTTCTCGAGCACGGATTCTCCCTTGCTGCATAAGCCGCCGCAGCACCTTGTGAACCTGGCCATGTCCAGAACAACAGGATGGAGTTCGAAAAGGGTGCCTTTCCCGCGCTGCCTTTGACAGATCTGGTGGCACGTCCAAGCCGCACTGGGAAAGCAAACTCCTGCAAAGTCATGGACCGATCCTATGCCGATGCTCAAGGCAACAGAAGATGACATACACGGCTCATCTTTGCTGCTAATTGTGCGCCTCAGCGAAACCACACCGGCTGCAGCATCGAATGCCATAGCAGCCATAACACTCCCTGGGGATTGCCTTCCTACCCTATAGACGATGCACGGGACAGACGTGCAATGCTTCGATTGGAGCGAAGGCCAGCAAATCAACATAGTGTCTTGCACTCCAAGCAAACCATGGCTGGGTACAGACCGGCTGGCTGCCAACAAGATACGGTAAGATCTCGAACTTTGCGCTCAAACTCCTCGAAATGCAACAAATCTCCGAAGCGAACACCATTGCCTGCCATCGAGACACTTCACATGATGCACGTGCGGAGCGTGACTAGGATCAAAACACGACCAGGATCGCGGATGGCTTTCGAAGAGTAGCACGGACCAATGCCACGTTTCCTCGGGCCCAGGCTTGCTGACATCAGAGCGGCCTAGCACCAGAACCTGCATGCAAACAAACGTCAATACAACATCTTGATATGTGCTTCAGGCACGACTAAACCGGTCAAGGAGCGTGGTTCCAATCGAATCTGATCCTTGCTCAGCTTCTAAGATTCCATCAATGATCTGATGGCTGTCGAGCAGAATGTGAGCCCCTGGACATGCCACAGTTCTGCGTGGAAGTCACAATACTCGAGCACAGCAGTTGAGGTGCGCTCGGGTCGAAATGAAAACTCGTTCAACGGCTTGCGGATCAAACTCCTGATTCTCGGGAACGAAGCTTTCAAGCCCAGCGTGGTGCAGGCTGTCATGGACGTGGGCACTGCTCCGCAACAAAGCCCGACTTGATCCTTCAGCGCTTCCAACTCCTTCATCAAAGTGGGGATGTGCCTCGGGGTCTCTACAACTCAGCGTCACAAGTATCACATGACCCAGGAAGCTGTCGTGCATTGCGCTATGCATGTTGATGTCTGTGAGTCTTTCGGTCGCTGTTCTCAGGTCTGCGGACCGTCGGGTGAAGTAAAAATCTACTCCAGTGCTTGTTCTGCTATATGCTCTCCCATTGTCTTCCTGCCCCGACATTTGGCTTCAACTTTGGAGCCCAGTAGGTTGCACGGTTGTCACGTGCAGCTGTGCTGCGCATACTCAATGGCATAATACTACGCATGCTAACTCCACCTCTCCCCTACTGTTTTGCAGGAGGTCGTTTTGCATGCTACCAATTGCCAATGAAACGTGCAACATGCATAACATACGTGTGGCAGCCCATCGCCCACTATTTGGGACAGCGTGCGGTCGCTGTGCTCGGCCCGATTGTTGTGTCTGCTTTTCCTACTTCAGCATCATCTACCTATGTTTGACTTGCGGTGCCATGTCACGTAGCTCGGCCAGCCCATGTCAGCCCTGATGTCAAGAGAGTATTGATGTGCCGTGGTATGCCATGCACTTGTGTTCCTTCTTCTCCGGTTTTCTACTTTATTTTCCACACTAAAATGATTAGGAATGATTAGGACATAGGGAAAGCGCATTAAGCCATAGGTTAGGCCATAGAACAAATCATAAGGAATCGATGTAGCTCATAAGTAAAAACGAAATTCCAAGCTCCTTCTGACATAAAGGATGTATTTGGCCGTATGGAAAAACGAGGTTCCGGGCTCGGTGGACAAAAACACGGCCGGAGTGGAAGGGGTCTGGGAAGAGCCTCCGGCAACACCTCTTTGTTCCTTAGTGTTAAGGAGCCGAGTAGCTCAGCAATGCAAATCACGCACGAGGTGCCTTCCCTCTCATGAGTGCACCACACCCCCGACCTTCAGCACCTCCAAGACCGCAGGGGCGGCGAGCAGCAAGGCGAGAAGCAAGAAACAAGGGAGACGGCCAGCAGTGAGCCCACACACCCCGCTTCAAGAACGAGGAGGCTCAAATGAAAGCTTTCTGGCGAAAACCGCATCATCAAGCGAGGCCGGTGCTAAGTCCAAGCCGGGGCTGAGTTGGCATTCAACACGGGGGCTGCATCCTTCCCCGGCAAACAAACCAGGGCCGTGGAAGGAATAAGCAGGTCGAAGTAGGCCGAACTTAGGCGTACACGAACATTGTCCACCTTCGAGGACATGAATGCATCAGCACGGTCAGAGCAAAAGTGGTGAGAATGGGTAACTATGTGATGTTTTAAGATGCTTATTTGATGTATGTACTACCATAATCCCAGACTGCACACTGTCTGTTGCTAGAAATGCACCAGCCGTCCTGTGCACGACGCACCACGCATCGAAGTTGGTTGCAGTGGGGTTTTTTTTTCTCCTCGCTCCTTTTTGACCGCAAGTA